ACTTGATCTCGGAGTCATGGGTTTGAGCCCCATGTTGGGTGTAGAGATTACTAAAAAAAAAAAACCAATAAACTTTAAAATGGGGATGTGGTGCCTGCCTTTAGGGAGTTCATGAGGCTGGAAGGAGCTAAGAATCCCTTAAAACACTGCCTGGCACCTAGTTAAGTGCTCACTAAAAGTTAGCTCCATGTGCGAATTTAAGAATCCCTGTTAAGCATCCTTCCTACGAAGGAAGAAGCTGGTACTGTGATTGTGGGGGTCTGACAGAGGAGGACCCCGAGGTTTCAGACCTGAGTGGCATCTCAAAGTGAGGAGCTGGGAGGTGGACCCCAGCCTGGCCGAGCCCAGGCCCCAGGCCCTGCAAGGGGCCAGCCCATAGTGGGGACACGGGCAGTGGGGGGGTGGGGCCAGCGAGGTCGATGAGGTCATTCCCCCACCCGCCTCCCCGCCAGGTACACCCAGTTCATCAAGCACTTCCTGGAGTCGGCCGAGCAGTTCTTCATGCAGGGTTACCGGGTGCGGTACTATGTCTTCACTAATGACCCTGCGGCCGTTCCTCGGGTCCCGCTGGGCCCCGGCCGCGGCCTCAGCACCATCCCCATCCAGAAGCACTCCTGCTGGGAGGAGATTTCCATGTGCCGGATGGAGACCATCAGCCAGCACATTGCCAAGACTGCGCACCGGGAGGTGGATTACCTCTTCTGTCTCAATGTGGACATGGTGTTCCGGAACCCGTGGGGCCCTGAGACCTTGGGGGACCTGGTGGCTGCCATTCACCCAGGCTACTACGCTGTACCCCGCCAGCAGTTCCCCTATGAGCGCAGGCATGTTTCCACCGCCTTCGTGGCAGACGGCGAGGGGGACTTCTATTATGGTGGGGCCGTCTTTGGGGGGCGAGTGGCCAGGGTGTACGAGTTTACCAGGGGCTGCCACATGGCCATCCTGGCGGACAAGGCCAATGGCATCATGGCAGCCTGGCAGGAGGAGAGCCACCTGAACCGTCGCTTCCTCTTGCACAAGCCCTCCAAAGTGCTGTCCCCTGAGTACCTCTGGGATGACAGGAAGCCCCAGCCACCCAGCCTGAAGCTGATCCGCTTTTCGACGCTGGACAAGGCCACCGGGTGGCTGAGGAGCTGACGGCAGAGCCAGGGCTGAGGTGGATGGGGACCCCCAGCCCTGCAGCCAGCTTGCCCCAGTGCCTCCCTTCTCGGGCCTCGGGTGAGACCAGTCCGGCCCTGCCTCAGTCTGTTAGCAGAATTCAACCGGAAAATGGAGGCTGAAAGCCCTTTGTAAACTGTAAAGTGCTGTACCCACATGAGGAGAACACAAAGACCACACAGCCCTAGAACAGTCAGCCAGGAAGAGGGGAGGCAGAGGTGAAGCAGACAGGGCCTGGCAGGCTCTACCCAGCAGACGTGCCTTCGGGGCAGGCTCTGGAGTCAGCCCTCCTCCACACCTGAGACCCCACCTCTGCCCCCCCCTTCTGTTGCCTGTTGCCCTTAAAGTTGTACTTCGAAGCCCCTGGTGTGAAAGGCAGCCCAGACCCCTCTTCTCTGGCTGCCGGGGGTCCTGGGTACTCTGATGTCCCCCTGCCATACAGAGCCAACCCCCCGCTCGGCCCTGGAGGGAACCTTGGCAGTGGAACAGGCCTGGCTCTCTCTCGTGTCAAGCCTAGCCTGTACCCCACGGTGGGCCACAGTCCCTGCCACCAGCCACCTCCTTTGTAAGAGGGCTTGGGCAGCTTTTAACAAAGGTGGCGTGGGGGGGCGTCTGTGTGGCTCAGTCGGTTGAGCGGCCGACTCTTGGTTTTGGCTCAGGTCATGATCTCAGGGTCCTGAGATAGAG